GAGTTGTCATTGTTGAGTTGTTTTCAGTTGTGTCTGATTCTCTGTGACCCCATTTGGGGTTTTCTTGGCAAAAATACTGGAGTGGTTTGTCATTTCCTTCTGTAGCTCATTTTATAGTGAAAAAACTGAAGCAAACAGGTGACTTGCCCAGGGTCACACAAGTAGTAAGTGTCTAAGGCCAGACCTGAATTCAGGGAGATGAGTCTTCTTGACTCTGGGGCCAGTGCTCTATGCACTGAACCACCTAGCTCTCCCTATTGGATGGGTCAGGGGGAAGGCTAAACAAATTATGGTACATGAATATAATGGAATATTGCTATGCCATAAGAAATGATGAATATACAGAGTTCAGAGAAACATGGAACAACTTATAGGAACAAATATAGAACAAAGGAAACAGAAACAGGAAAACAATATACATAATTATAATGTAAGAAAAACCCCAGTCTGAATGCAGTGTAATTATATTGCATAAACTTGGCACCTGAGAAGAGCTGAGAAAATTCATTTTCTTACTTCATTGCCAGGGTTGGGGGACTATAGGAGTGGAATACAGTATACACTATGTCAAAGCTAATCAATGTATTGGTTGATTTTTACCGAACTATTTATTTTTTCTTTTAAAATCTTTGTTATGAGGGGAGGCTTGCCGAGCAGGGGAGGGAGAAAGGAGTATATTTAGTAATTAATGTAATGTAAAAAACCAGAAGCATTAGAAAAGAAATTCCCTCAGTGGTCATAGCTCCTATTCTCTGAGCAACTTTTTAGCAAGTGACTGCTAATACAAAAAAGATTCAAAAAAGATATACAAAGGCTTTTAAAAAATTCAATATTATGTTATACTTGCAACATAAATTATAAATTATCTGCATAACACAACTTGGTATAATGATAAGAACACTGAACTTGGATAAATATATGTCCTAATGTTAAGCTTTTAAAAAAATTAATATATATATTTATAAATGAGAGAATTGAGGGTTTGTAGCTAGTTAGATCCGATACCTAATTTCTAGACTGTTTAGCCTTAGACTGTACCTTTAAGCTATAAGTATTGGTGAACTGAGATCTCAAAAGTTCCTAGGAGAATAATCTTTGCATGCTTTACAGCCTGTACAGAATATATTTCTTCCCAAATATTATTTCAAATATTTATTTGAATATACTTATTAAAACATTCTAAGTAATCTCTATTTCTAAGACCCAGAATACTGAAAAATTTTATCCTATGAAATGAGCTTTGTTTGCTGCCTGTTCTGATGATGAAGAACATTATGATGGATAGTGAAAGAAAAAGGCAAGCCTTAGCCAAAAACCACTGAGAAGGAAATAAACTTTGTATGGTCATTTTGTGAACTACCGACTTAGTAAGTGCATAAGGGCCAGAACTCAACTGCACATTTTCAACCAATGTAAAAAGCCAAAGACTTTATTGCAGGGGGGAAACTGGTTACTGAAAAGGCTCCTCTCTCCTCAACCCAATTAGAAAGCCATAGAATCTCTGAGGTAGAAGAGACCTCAGTGGTCATCTAGTTCAAGTAATACCTGAATGTGTTATCTTCCTTGACTCACACTATAGCAAAACATGTCTGCTTGCTGTACCTCTATAAGTGTCTCCTACTTCTGTGAAGGCTGTCTTCCATTCCTGGAATTTCTCTTTTTCTGGGTCTTTGAACTCGTCTTCCTATGGATTATAAGATTCTTTCCGCATTAGTATGGTGATGCTTTTGTCTTTGTATAGACAATACAGCTCTGCAAAAATTGCAACATTGGGGCAGCTAGGTGGTGCAGTGGATAGAGTACTGGCCCTGGATTCAGGAGGACCTGAGTTCAAATCCAGCCTCAAGGACATAACACTTACTAGCTGTGTGACCCTGAGCAAGTCACTTAACCCCATTGCCTAGCCAAAAAAAAAAAAAATTTGCAACATGTAACCCTTTCGTGTTGAAAGCTCCTCCTCCTCCTCCCCCTGCCTTTTGCCCTCCCTAACTTCCTTCAAGACTCAAATGCCACCTTCTTTAAGAGGTCATTCCTACTTCCTTCAGTTGTACATATCATCTCTCCCCAATTACTTTCTATTTATGTTGTATGTATCTTGTATTTACTTCTTCATATTCTACACCTAGTAAAGTACCTGCCATGTAGTAGACTCACATATACTTATTAACTGAACACATATCCTGCCAGTAGAACATAAGCTTTCTGAGGATGAGGATTACATTACCTTTGTGTTTGTATCTCCAAAGTTTAGCACAGTGCTTGGCATATTCTTAATAATGGCTTGTTTTTTGGTTTTGGGTTTTTTTTTTTTTTTTGGTTTGTTGAACAGGAATTCTCTACAATATCCCTGGCAAGGGATCATTTAGTCATCACTTGAAAACTTCCAGTGATAGGGAACTCACTAGCTCCCAAGTGAGCCCATTCCCCCTTTGGTGAGCTCTGATAACTAGAAAGATTTTTCTAATGTCAAGCCAAAATCTCTCTCTCTGCAGATTCTTCTGTTCCACGTTTTGCCTAGTGAGGCCAAAAAGAACAATTTTAATCCCTTTTCTGACTGATAATCCTTCAAATACTGTTGATGAAAATCATATCCCTCCACCTCAGATTCCTTCTTCTCCAGGCTAAATATACTAATTTCCTTCAAATAAACTTTATATGTTAAGTTTTCAGTCCTCTTTCTGTCATCCATATCAGTTATCCCTCTTTGTTGTCATCTGCAAATTTGACTGCTATGCTATCTATGCCTTCATCCATGTCACTGGTAAAAATGTCCAAGTAGATTATTACTATATGTATTTATACAGTACTATTTATATAATATATATAGTGCTTTAGGGTTTGCAAAGCACTATACATGTATTATCTCATTTGATCCTCACAACAACCCTGTGTTAGTTACTATTATTATCATCCCCATTACACTAATGTAGAGGGATGCTATTATTGATATTACTGTGTGGTATTAGAATTAGAATCTCATTTGGTTCAGTAAAAGTGTTAGGGAGATTCCTGGTCATTGCAGTGGACAACTCTATCCAGATTGACATCAGTTCATCAGTTGAAACTCTCTGGGTCTGGTCATTTCCTTACTTCTGAATCTATTTAATCATATTATCATCCAGCCCATAGCTCTCCATTTTGTCCCCAAAGCTATCACAAAAAACTGTGTCAAATGCCTTCCTAAAATCCAGCCATAGCATATTGTATATCTATAGCATCCCTAATCTACCAGTCTAAAAAAGCAATGAAGTTAATCTGGTACAATCTGTTCTTAAGGAACCCATACTGGTTTTATTGATGAATTCTTTTAAAAGCCAAGATAACATCTGTTCATCTCATGAACATTGCTTTATTTTTTAGATAATGTTCTTGCAGACCCATAGGGCTATCGTCAACTGCTGACCAAAATTCACAAGATCTTCCAGGGAGATGTATCAGGAGCCTTAGAGCACCATGTAGGAGGCAGCAAAGGTGGAAAGGATTAAGGAGAAATGTACATGTGTGGATGTGTTTATAGATATATGTAAAAGAGTAATGCATATGGCTAATTCTTAAGTGTTACTTTCACAATGTCTGGATCAAACCTTTTCTTTCCTGAGCTATAACAGTCTTACACAACATTTTTGTCCTTTTAAACCCACAGTGAACATTAATCTGGAAACTGAAGTCAGGAAGTTGAAGTTGAAGTCATGTTGATATGCAACATGTAGAAACAAATAAACATAGTAGCTTAATGGTCAATAAACCTAAGAACTCCTCTTACTGGGGAAAGGACTCACTATTCAACAAAACTGTTGGGAATTCTGGAAATCAGTATGGAAGAAATTATTTTTTAGACCAAAATCTCACATTATATGCCACAATAAACTCCAAATGAATACAGGATAGAGACATAAATAGGCTAAATCATAAAAAAAAAAGAGAAGGGAGAGACCCTTTTTGTTGCAACTAGTTTATTTAGTTTATTGTTGTTTAGTCATTTAGTTCAACTCTATAACAATGAACAGGATCATAGTGGATAAAATGAAATTTTTTATTAAATAAAAATGAAAAGGTTTTTTATGACAAAATCAATGCTGTTAAAGTCAGAAGGGAAACAGTTAATTGAGGGGGGTGCTATGCAGCAAGTTTCTCCTATAAAAGTTTTATGTAAAGATATGTAGGGAATTGATTCAACTATATAAGAATAAGAGTCATTCTCCAACAGAGAAATGGTCAAATGATATGAACAGGCAGTTCACAAAAGGAAAAAAAAACCAACTGCTATATCTCTGAACCTATAGCTTCCACCTTATACTCATCAGATTGGCAAGGATGACCAAAAAAGGAAAATGACAACAGTTGGAGGGAATGTGGGAGGACAGGCACACTAATGCTTTTAGTTGCATGAATCTATCACAGTGGGTCAAGGGAGGTGTTGGTATTAGTAAATTGACATTAAGTTGATTGAGTGGATAGGATGATTACCTTTGCATATGTCATTTACCATTAAAATTATTACTACAATTACCTTTGATTATAGTAAGCTACAACAGTTTCAGTGAAGTTTGTAGCTAATTATTGGGTACTAAAGCTGGGAGGCAGTCCAACTACTAGACTTTCCTGGTGCAGGATGGGTATGAAAGTTTCTAACAAAACACGTGCTGCTTAGTTTTAGAATAAAAGAATGAAAGAAACATTGAGCTGTAATTTGTGAAGCAATGTACAAATTCCTACTGATGTCAAACAACTTTTTATCAAACTCATAGTCAATAGAAAGCTGATGGGGAACTATAGGAAGGAAGTTCCCAGGCTCAGAATGTTAGGTAATTTACACAAAGAAGTAGAATTTCTCTGAATTCAAATGTCAATAGCATGCTTAATATCTTTTTTTTCACTTGATTAGGAATATTTCATTTTTGTTTCTATTCTTAAGAATAGAAACCCTTGAGCTAGTAGATATACCGTTAATTGTCCTCTTCTAGCATATTCTAATATAATTCTATTTTTGTACCCTATAGGGCCAGGAATCCTTGGAAGGACTCACAAGAAGCTCTGATAGATGAAGAAACTAAAGCCATCTATAGTCATATGAAAAAATGCTCTAAATCGCTATTGATTAGAGAAATGAAAATCAAAACACCTTTGAGGTACCACATCACACCTATCAGACTGGCCAACATGATAAAACAGGAAAATGATAAATGTTGGAGAAGATGTGGGAAAATTGGAACATAATGCATTGTTGGTGGAGTTGCGAAATGATCCAACCATTTTGGAGAGCAATTTGAAACTATGCCCAAAGGGCTGTAAAAATGTGCATACCCTTTGACCCAGCAATACCACTTCTGTGGCTGTACCCCAAGGAGATCATAAAAATGGGGAAAGGACCCACATATACAAAAATATTTATAGCAGCTCTTTTTGTGGTGGCCAAGAATTGGAAATTGAGGGGATGCCCATCAATTGGGAAATGGCTGAACAAGTTGTGGTATATGTATGTAATGGAATACTATTTTGCTGTAAGAAATGATGAGCAAGCAGACTTATAAAAACTTGGAAAGACTTGTATGGACGGATGCTTAGTGAAGTGAGCAGAACCAGAACATTGTACACAGTAATAGTCATGTTGTGCAATGACTAACTTTGATAGACTTAACCCTTCTCAGCAATGCAAGGATCGAAGATCCAAGGGTCTCCAGGATGGAAAATGCTATCCACATCCAGAGAAACTATGGAGTTTGAATGTAGATCAAAGCATACTATTTGCTTTTTTTTCCTTCTGTTTTGTTTTGTTTCCTTTCTTGTGGTTCTTTCTATTGGTTTTAATTCTTCCTTAAAACATGACTAATGTGAAAATATGTTTAATAGGAATGTAGGAATAGCCTATATCAGATTGTGTACTGTCTTGAGAAGGGAGGGGGGGGGAATTTAAAACTCAAAAGCTTATGGAATTGATTGTTGATAAATCAAAATAAATTAATGGAAAAAAAAAAAGCTCTGATAATTTGTCTCATTACCACCCTGTGAAATCAGACCTCTTTCATCAGGGAGGTACATTGTCAGGGGAAAAGGTAAATCCCTCACTCTTTGTAATGATATTCTGCCCACGCTATGGGACTATCTTTTAATTAAACCCTATTCCAGTGTTGTTCAGGCCTTTGAGAATTGGGATGAGATCTAACAAGGGCCTCTTCTACACTTCATAGCAAACAATGTTTAAGTGAAGTTTCTATACATGTATTTTGTCTAACCACCTAAATAACTTCAAGTTTGTAGTTGTAAAATAGCTCAAGTAAATATTCATTGAAAAACTATGAGCAAATTGTTTTCCCCAGTAATCCAAAGCCTTGTTATAGTCAAAAAGGGCAGATGATATAATTTTTAGTAGTTTACAACTTTTGGAAACAATATGAATGAAAAAACCTCTATTATCCAGCAACCTTTACATTTTGGTCTTGAATCCTTTCTCTCTGTTTCTACAAAAAGGCCAATGAAATCCTGTTTTGTATTACAGGGCATAGACTAAAAGGCAAATAATTCCTATTGAATATGTCTGGAGCATTTAAAATAACTGTAGACAATATAAAATACTTGAGAATCTACTTGAACAAATTATGTCTTCACACAAAGACAGATCGAAACAAACTGAAGAAATATTAGTTCATAAATAGACTGAGCCTAAAATCACAATACTATCTAAATTAATTTATGTATTCAGTGCCCTCGTCACATGAAAAAATGCTCCAAATCTCTATTGATTAGAGAAATGCAAAGTAAAACCACTCTTGAGGTATCACTTCACATTCATCAAATTGGCTAAGATGTCAGAAACAGAAAATGAGAAATTCTGGAGGGGATGTGGGAAAATATGTCCACTAATGCACTCTTACTGTAGGTGAAAACTAGTCTCACCATTTTGGAGAACAATTTTGAACTATGCTGATAGGGCTGTAAAGTCTTTGACCAAACAAGATCACTATTAGAACCAAAGAGAGATTAAAGAAAAAGGACCCATATGTGCAAAAATATTTATAGCAGCTTTTTTGGTTGTGGCAAAGAATTAGAAATGGAGATGCCCATCATTTGGGGAATAGCTGAAGAAGTTATGGTATATGATTGTAATGAAATACAATTATGCTGTAAGAAATGATGAAGGGGATTGTTTTAGGAAAACTTGGGAAGACTTCTCTGAACTGATGTGAAATGAAGTGAGCAGAATGATGAAACAATGTACACAGTAATAGCAATAGTGTAATGATAATCAACTGTGAAAAATCAATTTTTGATCAATTTTGATCAATTCAGTGATCCATGACAATTTCACAGGACTCGTGATGAAAAATGCTATCCACCTAGGGATAGGGATAAGGAATTGATGGACTCTGAGAACAGATTGAAGCATATTTATTTTTCTTGCTTTTTTCCTCTTTGCAACATGGCTAATATGGAAATTGGTTTTGCATGACTTCATGTGTATAGTGGATATCATATTCCTTGCTCAATGGGTAAGGAAGAAGATGAAGGAGGGAGAAGATTTGGAACTGAAAATAAAATTTTTTTAAAAAGAACTCTGATCAAGACAATGATCAGTCATGATTCCAAAGGACTGATGATAAACAGTAACCATCTCCTGAGAGGAGGTGATGGACTAATAATATGTAGAATTACACACACACATGTGTGTGTATGTGTGTGTGTGTATGTATGTATTCATCCATCTGTCTATTTGGACTGGATAATACAGGAATTTATTTTGCTTATTTGTTGCAAGGATTTTGTTTTTCTTTTTGAGGGGCAGAGGAGAGAGGGGATTGGGACAATTGAAAAAATAAAATTTAATGAAAAAATGTGTTTGGTGAAAATGAAATCTTTGGAAGTGTGAATATTGTCTCTGGCATTTTGATGTGTACTTCTGCCATAGAATGTTTTAAGTCCACTATTTTTCTGTGTAACCTCTTACACTTTGATTTGCAGAGGCAGTATTTATCTGTAATTATAGGCTATACCTCTTGTATATGACCTGTATTTCTCCCTTTAAAAAAAAACAAAATAGCCCTTTGATTTGTTGGAGAGTCAAATAAACTGAAACCTCTGTAGACTAAATAATTATTGTTCCCTTAAATAGTCTCTTTGAAGTGCCCACGTTAGAAATCCTAGGTAGGTCACATTAGTCCTACCATGTGTGTATGTGTGTGTGTGTGTGTGTATTTAAATCAGGTGACTCATTGGCACTGGAAAACAACATGGCCATCCTCTCTTGTGACCTCTAAAGGTAGGAGTGTTAAATAAAACCCCATAATCAAAATAGGTGTATGTTAGGCAAGTTGGTGGGCTAAGTAGATAAAAGGAGTAACAATCCACTTTGGGAACCAATTGCCACAGCTGCTTTTTAAGTATCCTCTTCAAGCATTTTGCATAAGGTGTACCTTCTCTGAATGTTTAAGGTAGGAGGGTCAATCTTTGATACCCAACCAAATGTAGATACATGGAAAACTTCAAGAGTGTGCTTGTGGGCAGAGTAGAGAGTGTGTTTTTTTGTTTGTTTTTGGTTTTGGTTTTTTATTTTCATTTTGTTTTGCTCTGGAGTTTTTCTTATTAAAGCTAAGATTAAGTGAGTATTTGAGGGATTGTATGTAAAAATAGAAGGCCTAGGAGGTTTGACTGAAGGAAATTGATTCTTACTGACTTGGAAGTTGGCCTTTAAGCTATATCTGTGTCCAGTTTTTCCATTATTACACCAATCAATCTGTCAATCAGTATTCATTAAGTACATTTTACCAGGAATTGTGCTAGGCACTGGAGATACAAATACAATGAGTTAAAAAAATCCCTGCCCACTAAGGAACTGATATTTGATACAAAGACATATATAGGTATTTACAGAATGAATTACAAAGTGAATAAATACAATGTAGCTAAATATAAGGTAGTTTGGGGGGAGGGCACTAGCCATTGAGGGGATCAGAAAAGGTTTCATGTAGAAGGTGATGTTTGAGGGCCAACCTGAAGGAAAAGAGAGGATTCTATCGGCTTTTCAAATTAAAAAATTGATCATCTACTTTTCCCCAAGCCACACTTCCCCCATGCAAGTACACAAATAGAAAAAATTATTCATATGATTATTGGTCTACTATTTAGGGGTAAATCATTACTTAGCTCGCACCAAGCACCAACTGGTCCCTCAATGCTGCTCCATACAATGAAACAGGGGAATGGGAATTGCTAAAAACTGGAAATTCTTTTGGTAATGTCAACAACTTACTCAACTTGGGTTTGTTTGTTTTTCTCTCCTAACCACTAGAATAAAGGCCCTTTATTTAAATCAAAGCTGCTTGCTGATGGCTGCCAGATGTTTGGGGACCTATGAACAAAACTGAGTTCTTATTCTGAGACTGATTCACTACCCCTAAAGAATCCATTAAACCCTAGAGAAGGAAGGACTGAATTATTTTCTAACCCTTGCTATGGTAGGTCTTAAGGACAGTATGGCTCTTTGTTGTGGGAAAAGTCTTGTCCGTTAATGTCCAGACTGGCCTACTCATGTAGCTTTGCACGATTTAGTGGAAAGAGCCTTGGACTGACAGTCTTGAGATCTGGGCTCAAGTCTTTCCTCTGTCATTAATTTGCTGTATGATTTCGAGTCTCTTTGGGTCTTGGTGTAGTTGACCTACTTCCTTCACCATCACTGTAAGAATCAAGCAAGGAAATGAATTTGAAAGGTCTTTTAAAAAATCTGACATTCTATAATGGCACAAAGTGGAGGCTTCTCCTGGCATGTTTTGTATGCTACTGAACAGTACCTCAGCTTCTCCATTGGTTGTCAGGGATGGTGATTGACCTCTCCGTTAGTCTGAAATATGACTTTGCAGTGACACTACTTGTGGAACAGATCAATTGGCCTCTCTGCGCCTCAATTTTCTTATCTGTAAAATGGGGATAATGTTACTAGTTGTACTACTGTCTTTGAGGGTTGTTGAAAGGAAAGTGTTTTGTAAACCTTAAAGCCCTAGGTAAATGTCCTGGATAACTTGGTGGGGAGGGGGTGGGGAGAAGAAGGAAGTTCTTCATAGCTTTTTGTTGACATCACAGTGCTTTTCTGCTCCCATCCCCTCAGGT